GGTCAGAGACGAAGACCATGCATTTGAATTGGTCCTCGGTGAGCGAGCCAAGTTGAAAGCGTTGGCATTCACGATTGACCACGTCCGCGTACGTGATGAAGTCGTCGGCATCACGTTTGGCCAGCTGCAGACACTGATAACGAGCATTGAACAGAGATGACTGCTCGCCAAAAATCTGTGACAACGTTCGGACCGTCTCGTCAAAGGTAACGTTGCGTGGGTTCCTCGGTAAGATGAAGTTGGTGTAGCGCAATTGTTCGAGCGTACCAAGTTTGCGCAGAAGCAGGCGGACCTTCCACGCGTCGTCCTGGCAAGCCAAGTCAACGGTGAACAGGTCCTCGTACCGCTTGTACCAAGATTCGAACGTTACCCCGGCCTTGGCGTCGTACAGGAATTCGCTGATGCCGCTAACCACATTGTCCACTGACTGAGAAGTAGCGTTCGGACCTGAGTGAAGGGAAGAACTGGAGAGCTTTTCGGTTAAAACGGACATCAACTTAAGCTGTTGCTGCAGCATCAATTTTAAATCTGCGTATTCGTCAGACATGGTTCGTCAACTCTGTCGCCACTGTTATAATTGAGGGGGGGGGGAACGCCGCCTCTGTTCTAATTGCGTAATTGCCTGATAAGATTGTCGCTCGCACGGTTGGAGCACGCCTACGATGACGAGTTGTAACGCTGGCCACTCGAACGGAGTTGCGCTGACCTGATGACGCTAGCTTAGCCGGTGAGACGGAAATTTGAGCGAGCGTGTGAACGATCCTAGCCGCACTTGTTCGGATAGACGCTGGGCATTCGGAACGGACGCACACAATTGGGGGTTAAGATAGACGCGCGCTAACGACTTAGACGCGAAGGCTGGCCAGCTAGCGACTCACACGCAATCACGTGACCCGACCGACTCCCAACTGAGGCGAAGAGAAAGAAAAGGCAAGTGATCCTCTGTAGGCTCTTTTGCGACCGACAAAGGGCTACATATATATATATATATATATATATATATATATATATATATATATATATATATATATATATATATATATATATATATATGTAATCACCGCCATCAATTGCATTCCCGGTGATTAGTTATTACTGCGGCCTTGAACCTGTTGCGCTTCAAATTTATACCTTCTGTGAGTACCCACAAGAAGAGCTTCCAAATTCTTTTCGTTTGGTCGGGAATTAAGACCCATGTTGACTGAAATAGGAAAATGTCGTATCAGCACACGGCTATACATTCGGCGTCGAAGTACTCGAGCTACGATGTGGTTAGGAACCTTTGCATTTTTCCAAGACCTAGGTGGTGATATCAATGTTAAATCACTTGGTCAAGCCATCCAGCGCCCGCTCGAAGCAACTTTTTCTTCTATTGGAAGTATCATACCTGCGATGGCATACCATTGATGAGGGTATCGCACTTTACGATGCGAAGGAGAAAGCTTGTCTTCCAGCCGTAGTATTTCCGTACGCTCGTCGGATGTTCCGTTGACTAGTAACTGCAAACGTATACCCCATTCCTCTAGGATATATCGAAATCGCTGTTAAGACTCCCATAATTTGACCCGCACTCTTCACCAACCCCACTTAGATTGCTTCCCATGTTCCTCAAAATGCTGGTTGAGTACAGCACTGCGTCCAACTGCCACTTATTCTGGAAGTGTCTTGGAGGTGGACGTCTCACTTGATTGTAAGGTAAGGACTGTGAAGCCTATACATGAAGGAGAGCATTGTCAAGATTCTGTTATCTATCGACCGATCTGCTTGACATCAATCACCTACAAGGCAGTATAATGGGTCTTTGGCGGCTTTTCATTACTTCAAGTTCTTGTACGTGGTTCCTACTGATCAGCATTGCTGTCGAAAGGCACCGTCTTGTATTCCCAATCTGTTTGTTGCTTTGGTGACGTTAGGCAAGTCATTTGGTGAAAGCGGTTTCCGCTAGTTTTAGCAAAAGCATCTCGTAGTTCCACACATGCTTTCTCCCTTGACTCCGGGAACTTAGTATTACCGGCTAGGTTCTCAGCTGGATTGCCGAGTTTCTAGAAGGCGGTATCACGCTAGGGAATGTTAACTAACCTATTTTCCTGCCACTGCTTCTGACCAACGGTGTTTCTTTTATTCCGGGATTCTCAACTTCATCAACGACCTTCTAGCACATGTTCCACACGCACGTACACACACGCACATGAACATATTCCAGCATATGGAATCTTCCAGCAGTTCTTCAGTTCGACTTCATGACGTATTCCATAAGCATCCAGCCTTAGAGATCTTAACAGATTGAGAGTCAAACTGCATCTGTATGACTGGTCTATCAGTCGGTGTTTTCTTACAAGTCATGGAACCGATTTCTACTCGGGGTTCAGAATGCGGCACAGAAGTTTCTAGGTCTATTTGTTCCTATGATTTGAGCACAGCCCAGGGCACGATGTATCAGGTCCCTGGTGCCAACAGCATGTTCTACGCCAGGTCATTATTCTATTTAATGACCCCCGAAATCATTGGACTCCTGCTTGCGTCGCATGCGCACTCGATTCTGGAGTGCAGCTTACTAGCTGTATATGATATCAACTTCAAATGTGATCTGACAGGACGGGTTCAACGAAGGGGACCAGAATCTGATACTATGTGGACCACCTTATCCTCTTCGATTGTACCAGATGAACCTGTTTACCCTAGACTACCGTCGTATAGATTTGGTTTACTCCGGCTACCTTCTAGGGGGATAGTTATGATTGGGTGGGCTGCAACAGTCCTCAGTTCCACATAGATTACTCGACTCTGTGACAGTTAGAAATTGTTTAAAACGAGTAGGTTCATAGTCCATTCCGATACCCTTTTTTATCCACCGAGGTAGGGAATATCTGGACCAACGCCGGAACCGGTTGTCAGTGCACATACGGAGCAATGTTTCAAACTGATTTTAGACAACCACCTATTGAGCCTAGATCTTGATATCTCCACCGGAACTGTAACAGCCCCTCATGCAAACTGTTTTGCATTGAAATACTTTCTGTGCAATGAGTTGGAGACGACATAGCTGACACGGGATCTCTTCTCACTGCTTATCGAAAACCCACAGGTAAGCCTGCAACTCTGTTTACTACCATGTACACTGACGGTACTTTCTCACTGCGTCTATCCGGAGATTATTCAGCTTCGAATACCCATCAAGTCGGTGTTCACAAATAAAATCATACTCTAGCCTCCGTGCCACTCACAAGCATCACATTACTGTGACTAAGTGATCCTCATGAGAGCTGCGTCACGAGGACCAGAGTGTTTACTGCCTCGGTGGAGAACGCATTGAACGTATGCTTAAAATGCGTCATTTGCTATACTCATGTCATATCTGCCGACAATGTACCACTTTTGTCCTAAACTTGCTACCCATCTTTACTTTAATCACGCGTCTTCGGCACTGTTTGTTGAGAAAAATCGTTCGGGCCAGGCACATTTTTCCAATTCGGCCACGCCAATTTTTGTTGAGTCTTGTCGATTGTGTGTATCATGACTTCAACGTCTCAGGTGGATTCATGTGAGTTGACTGCCAATTCAGACATGAATGGTTGGTAGAATTGCTTTTCAAAATAGCCCAGCTTTTGATGGCAGCTGAAACCTGGGCGAATGGAACTGTTGCGATACCGATTGACCAGGAGTCAGTCAGATGTCACCGACGAGAGATGAGCGTGCACGACGAATCCGTTCCAACGCAAAGGAAATGCAGCGTGCCGAGAAGCAGGTTCGTCCGCCAAGCGGTGATCAGGTGGCATACGCCTGAGTCCAGGGTTACAACACGGTCCGCTGTGGCAGCTAGTCAGCTGAAGGCTCATCGACCAAACAGACGGATGACCAATCAGACACCACCCATGGGAGCCGGTCGTTTATTCTGTCCTCGGTGGCGGCAACGTGGCCCAATGTAATTGGACTTCGAAAGCGTGGAGAACAAACCCGAACTAATGGAATCTAGCTAACAATACAGGCTAGTTAACAAAGGCCAGTCAGTGAAACAGGCCACAGCAGCATAGTCGTATGCTCTAGAAATAACCTCAAATATTTTTAATATGGATTTTGTTATCACCACTCAGACTTTGATTTTGATCTCCAGAAGGCTGCTTGGCACCCCAGACATTGATTCCGGACCGAATCAACTACATATATCTAAGTTGTTGCCTGGCCTACACCAGTCTCTCTTAGAAACATGTTGGATGGGTTGAAGCAGATCTGAGACTCTCAATGGTCGCATCTTTCTCCGCCTCATGAACTTTCACCACCTAATAACATTCTGTGTAATTCCTGGCACCACTCGTCAAGCAGTCCATCTGTTGGACACTAATATTGTCTGGGTGGGTAGCTTACTAGTGGCACTCTTACTTTAAATCCTGATGAATTTGGTGCCAATGATTTTTTACCATCTCGCAAATTGCTACTTACTGCGGCTAAACTAACCGAAGGCGTTCTTGTTAACTTCTTTTCCCGATTTGCGTTCCCAACATCTCAGAATGGGATTCCTTTAGGCATAACAAAATCTTGACCATCACAATTCAGTGGGTGAACAACCAAACGTGCTAATTTGCCCACTTCTACTTAGGCGTCGATTCAGGCGAGTTGAGCTTGGATGAAAGCGTATCAGCCACTTTGCAGAACGGAAACTAATCCCGTCTGCTGATCGCTTTCAGTACATCCATATTTTCTCGGATTAGGATCCCAAGATCAACGGTTGCTTGTTTTCATAGGCACTGCGTTATGTTCTTTAACTCAGATGTCCAAATATCTTGTTAACGTTCCGATTTTGTGACCTTCCAGCAAGTCTTTAGTTGCATTTCAACTGGATTACCTCTGATCCAGTGCGAGTTTCATGACGCCATAACAGCGTAGTGGGCATTCTTCAACATATCACCCGCATATCCGACTACGGTTTTTCTGATGACTTATTGATTTATTTGTTTGCAGTCCGATTGCCCAATCTGCCCATTTATTGACGCTTCTTTTTTACAGTTATCGGTTCCTGGATGTCGATAAACGGGGAGGTATTCGCATCTTGTAAAAACTCTGCTGTGCATAAATTCAGATCATTCGGACAAAAAACTCATTCTACTGGGAGGAGTCATCTGTTGACATAAATGGAGCAGCAGAGGACATGCGAATTTTCCGAAGAAACTGTAATGCGCTGCGCGAAGCGATATGCGCTGCATGGGCCAGCAAAAAGGCGGGTGAAAAGGTAATCTGCACACATTATTTATTACTTTGCATTCTTGCAGGTTAATTCATCTAATTTTGCTACTTTGCTGATTACAATCAAGGAGCTAAATCGAAAAACGCAGTTCCGTATCAAAAAGGCTCGTGAGCGAACGACTGAGGTGACACATTTTCTTGGTATTTCACACACGTTTTAACACCAGCAAAAGCTCGGCGTGGACAAACTCCATTTAAGTCTTCAAAACCTTCTCTACGAAGTCGCCCATTTAGAGAACGAAATCAAAACATGTTTGGAGTTTAAGTAACTGTTTTTCGACTACTTATACTTTTCGGTTCAGATCTGAACATGACAAACTCAAACTCATTCCTGTCCAAGAATTTTGTGAGGCTACGGGGCACAATGTAGGAACTCAAACCTTTCATTTCAACTCATTAGCCTTCATATGTATCCACCCACGACGGAACTCTTGAGCGGCTCTACTGGGAGTTAGAGCAACGAAAAGAGTAAATCCTTTTTCAGCATCTATTGACACAACTTCAGACTCTCGAAATCATTTGAAAGACTTCAAAACACACTGGATGATACCGTATCGCAGATTAAACGAAAACAAGAATATCTGTCTAGTTTCAACTTGAAGCTAAAAGAACTAACGGATGTAAGTGCTTCGTTTACTTAGCTTTACCCTACAGAATACTCTTGCCGTGCAGGAACTTATGAATTTACCGTTCAGCAAAGAAGAGAAGCAGCACACATTGGGCTCCATGTTGCCTTCACCATTGTACATACTTTATGCTCATCTCAAGTCGTATATATCTATGTCTGGTAAGTGCAATTTTGCGGTGTTTTCGACTTGCAATAATTGGCTTTCCATTATTCCATTTATAGTGATTAACTGTCATTTTGTATCTCAACCAATACGTTGCGAGCCGTTGGATCTAGTAAATTCTGAGCGAATAGCTGGTATAGTTTACTTTATCCATAGTGGCTTCACTTGTGTTGTTTGCGATGCACGATGGAATGTTAGTGGGACAGAAATATGAACTATTCATCCATTCTGGAATTATTTCGCATAGCAAGCCGTGCTTGCTTTGTGATAAAACATAGTGTTGGCAAAGCCATTTTAAATTTCTTCTTTGTATATATTATTCCAAATAACCATCCCAAGAAATGGGATTTGAGAGTTCTTACTCTTGGCCCTCAACTCTTATGTCTGCCCCACAGTGCGGCTTTCTGACTATATATTTTTTGGGACCCCCACTTATCAACCTGTTACTTGATAGTCGGACTCACAAGGGAACTGTGAGACGGTTCTTCTTGTAGAGGCTACTTCTGCGTTCCACCGGAATCACCTTGGTCCTGCACACATGCAAACATAGGTTTACTCTAACCGAATTATATCTCTTCATGATGTGTTCGTTTCGAGTTTCTATTTTACTGGTCAACGCATGTCTGGCTTTGGGCAAATTCTGTTAAACTACGGATCACACTGCTACATTTCGCTGCCAGTCTCTTCTTCGGACGTTAGCCCTTCGTGCCAGTTTGAAGTTTTAACCAGTACTCCTATAGCTGAGATTTGAAGAAAGTGGACTATCTTTTTTACACAATCTTTAATGAAGGGAATATTGGTTTGGTTTCTCCGTGGTCCTTGGGTCATGTTGTTCAACTGTCATACCTCCTTACAGCTCATTTTCATCGCCATTTCTTGCGTGTTGTTCTGCACATACATTAATCTCCTATAACCAGCCGGTTTTTACCACCTTTTTACAAAAGGTATGCCCTTAATACTTTTCTCGCTTTCCCTGTTGTTTGCGTAACTCGCTGAACCACTGCTGAATTTTCCAGCTGGATGTCAGCACCATTATAATCCGATTGTTTCACTTTGGTATTCTTTAGTTGCAAACACTGATGTACTTTTCTCCCTTGCCCCCGATCCAGGCTTTTCATTGGGCTTTGTAATGTAAACTGTCTAGCCCGCGCTTTCTTATCACTGGTGCCATCTACTTCGAGCTGAGAGTAACTACGATGATGTCTAGACTTGGCGCTTACCGGTATTTGATAGCCATGGCACCCGAACCAATTTCTTGTAGCTTGGGACACAGATGGATGCCATTTAGTTTCTCAAAACGCACGCACACGTTGTCCAACGGAGCCCGCCAGCCCTTATTTATGCTGATGTCCCTTGCATTAAATATTCTAACTGGGTTATTTTTACGGCGTACAACATTCGGTATTGCCGCTTTTTTGCCGTCCTTTTCTCTATCGGTCCACAGGGCGCAGTTCCCATCTTTCGGTCGAGATTGAGGGTGATGCCGAATTAGCGAGGGCAGTAAATCAAACTCTATCACAGTCCAGTCCTTGCCAAATTGCTCCACAAGAACAAGACGATTCTGAAGTTGAAGCGGAGACAGAAGTCGTTAAGAAGCGAGTGAGTGATCATCCTCAAGCATCATCTGTTGCTCTTTTGGTGCACACGATCTCCTTAGTTAAGCTGCGAATTTATTTTTTGCCATGGTACTTTTATAACTGTGGGTAGAAATAAACAGAATTTTGGTGAGTGTCTCTCTTTGACTGCGGTGTTCTAGTCATTGTAGAGGACAATCATTGCCGTCCAGCATGGTTAATAGAAGTGAGTATGGTGCTTCTCAGGGTTCTCGCCTTCCTATTTCTCGTCCTATATTTCTTCATCCTCATTCCTTCCCGACTTCGCTTTTTCCACATCTTTTCAACTCCCCAATTCTTGACTGCCTCATTTATTACTTTATTGGGCGTTTGTCTTCGAATTTCGACGCACATTTAGTTACATAACATTGATCCTGCTCCTTTGACACATCCGTATGCAACCAAGTGGCAAACCAAAGTTTATTCGTTCCTATTTGTAGTTCACAGTCCTCTCTAAGACTGGTATACCTCAAGGTTGTAGCTCGGTCAAGAGGCCCAACTTGGCCCAACAACATGAACCATATCGACGATATCTGATGATTATCAGGCTCATCTATAAGGCTGAGACTCTGTGCTCATTATACAATTACCTTCATGTAACACTGGCCATTGCTTCTTATGCACCTATAACGCAGCTTCGAATGCCGGTGTGCATATTGTTATGGGCCTACAGGCCAACGCTGCTTTAGTAAATTGAATCCCAATCTGTAGCCGGATGTACATCGTTAAATTGGTTGTCTCGTTCACAACTTCGAAGTCCTCGCGGGGACAATTGGTACCTGCTTCTCATTGATGCCAGCGCCTCCACAACTTGTAACGCTGACCCCGTGAAAGATAACTTCCATCGTCAACTGTACGGGCTCCTTCGTCTCAGAAGACGTACATAATGTTGGCTTGTGATCTAAATGCTTAAGTTGCAAAATTGTCTAATGCGCTTTTTCTGGGTGGTCAACACGATGTACGTTCCCGTGCTAATTACAGTGAACGGTTGTTGCACTTATGTGAAGATGCTCGTCTATTTCTCGCGAGCACCAACTTCCTATATATCATCCGCAAAGGGATGACATAGAAACCACCAGCCTCGGACCAACCATGGACGCAAATCCGTCAAATTGCGCTCCGTTACCTCTGGAGTGGCTACGTCTGAAACTGTCGTTCGATTTTGAGCAGTAGCGTGGACTTTGATCGTGCACTGTATGTGCAGATTTCGGAGCTCGCTTCAGCGGGCTCCTGTGACTACGCTGTGGGCGCATAGACATAAGTCAACTTGCAAGATTTGTTGAAGCTGAAGCAGGTTGAGTAAGTCCTCACTGAACACCGTTGGGTATCACTGCTCGACTATTCACAAGACGTTAGTGGTGACAAGTATGTCTTGCGGCAAACCCGAATGTCAGCATGAACTGTGATTTCTAAAGTCATGCGGACGACCTATTCTACTGACGATTGATCATTAGTTTGCTACTTCTTCGATATCTGATCTCGAACTTTACCCATGTTTGCTTACCAGTAGTCTGGCAGGATTACGTATTTCGGCTTATTTTCCGTTTCTTTTTTCTTTTACGATGTAATAAGCCTGAACCTTACTGTGGTGCGATGGTCCGCGTGCCTCAGTGATCCATAGAGTTCTGCCGGTTGGTGATTTCCGCACCTTTAGATTGGTCAATGGTTAGCGACCAGACACACTTAGCCTCTCGGTCCTCCAGGTTGGGGTTGGTTTTGGGATTAGGGTGTTTCCTTATTCCTTACAACTGATTTGTAGCCCACAACCGAACCCGCTGCCTTGCGATCAGGCTTTCGAACCAAAGTTTTTGCTTGAGAACCCTAATCGTTCTCCTGTCTAGCAATGGACAGCCTGACAGTATCCTGCTCGCGCAATACAGCCCCATAAATTTCTCTTCACACAAATTATTGACGCTTTGGCCATCGCAGACGATAATAAACGGCGCCCTATCTGCTGCATCAAGCAGATTGAATAGGGGTTTGAATGCCACTGCTCAAGCCTTCCCGTCTTCTTATTCCTTCTTTTGCGCTTTTTCACTCTTACCGTCCCTTTCCAATTTCACTTTTATCCCCCCACCTTTTCACTACCCAAAATTGTTGGACCTCAATCACCTTGCCCACATAATTGTTCCAGTTTCAGGTCACATGCAAGCGCGCTGCGTCACCTCTGTCCTGCCACCAAGTATAAGTCCACTCAAGCGGTCAAGCCTAGCTCATCGGCTACTATTTGCAACTTTCGATCCTCCCTAAAATTGGCGTGACTCAGCGTACGCACACTGCTACAGGTCGGTCAACAGGCAACACTTGTCCGAACATTAGAGACCCTCCCGATCGATATCTTCTGCTTAACGGAAACCCGCCTGTGCTCGCTTTGCGATCCCCTACAGATGACACCAGCAGTGATTTTTCACCGCGCCTGTCCGTAGGCGATACAGCTTCGACTGTTGGCCAAGCCAGGCTTGGTATTACTCTGAGTTCTCGAGCTGAAGCTGCTCTGGTTGTTTGGATCCCGATCAGTAGCCAGATTTATGCGGTCCGATTGGCTGGATCGTCCAAAGCTTGGAGGTCGCGCGGGACTCATAGATGTTTGTTTGTCATCGTTGCTTACGCACCGACAAACTGTAGCGATGAGTATGTAAAAGACGATTTCTATCCTCAACTGAACGCGCTCCTTCACCACAGAAGATGTACGGACACTGTCTTGCTGCCTGGGAATCTGAACGCTCAAGTTGTCCACTGCTGCGCTGCATCTGGGCGGACAACATAGTGTAGGCTCCTGTAAGGATAACGATGAGTGATTACTTCATTTGTGTGAAGATGTTCACTTATTTCTTGCGAGCACTAACTTCCGACACAGCACCCGCCGGAGAGTGATATGATGCTCATTAACATTGGACGCGAATCGATCACGCTGTGATCAGTTACCGCTGGAGAGGCTGTGTCCAAAACTGTCGTTCGATTTGGAGCACTTGTGTGAGCACTGACCGTACACTTATATGTGATAACCTGCGGGTGAGTTTTGGCGGACGTCCACGACGACCCTCTGAACGCATTGACACTAATCAACTGGCGAAGCCACATGTTCTGGATGCGTATCGAAGTACGATGACATTCGTGTTGCGTAAGCGTTCATTGAATACCGTTGAAGGTCATTGGTGGCATATTCACCAGACCTTACAAGCAACAGGTAAATCCTCATGTGGGAAATCTGATAGCCGATGTTTACCTTAGATTTCTTTTTGTTTCTGGACTTTATCGATGCTCGCCGTAATCTTGCGACTGGAAACGAACACAATGATACACACGAAGACCAAATGACAAAGCGGTGTGCTAGCCTGTAAAGAGACCGCATATGCTGGTGGTCTCATCGTGCGTCATCGATGTACTTGACCGCTGCTCTTGGCAACCATCGAAAGTTATTCCGCCTGATCCGGTAGACGAGCAGCAGGAGACCTGGTGTTAGTGAGACTATTTATGACGAGCGTGCCTAGCCTATCCACAACTTGTCGAAATTTTTGAAGCATTGTACTGAGCACTTTGAAAGGCAATTTAATCGTTCGGAATTGTCAGATTTCTTGCCGGTGTGCTGATCGCGTTGCTCTTTGAGCTGTCCCCCTGGATCCGCCCTCTCGCTCAGAAGTCGAACGTGAGATTAGACTACTGGAGTTGAGTAGGGCAGCGGGACCAGATGGTCTTCCTCCAGCGCTGTTCGAATTCGGGGGACCGGCTTTTGTTGATGAGTTACACGAGTTACTGGTGAACTGTAAGAGTAGGACACTGTCCCATCCGACTGGAGATGTTCCGTCATAGTCTTAATCTTCAAGGATGGCTCCCGTCCGGAACCATAGAGGAATCAGTCTGATCTCTATAACTTCCAGATTGCTTGCCCCCATCATCATAGACTGACTGGCACTCGTGAAAGCCTGATTTGTGAGGAACAAACCGGGTTTCGTCGAGGTCGAGGCTGTATCGACCACATTTTCACTTTGCGTCAATTGTTGGAGCCCCGTCACATAGTGGTGTTCCAACATTGTCGTGTTCCTCGATGTCGAAGACGGATCGATGTGCGCTGTGTGACTATCCACCGAGGAGTGGTGTGTGCGAAAATATGTAAAGCTTATTAGAGCGTTATATACGTGTAGCTCGGGCAGAGTGAGGGCTTACGGCAAGCCATCACCGTCCTTCAATATCTCCATCGGTGTAAGAGAAGGATGTCCGATGTCACCTCTTTTGTTCAACTTCGCTGTTGACGAAGTCATTGAGATTGCGTTCACATGCGAACGGCTTCTTGACTTGAAGTATCCTGATGGTAGTGTCCTCATCTGTGACAGTTCCTAAACGCGCCAAGGTGCACTGGACAGCTTAGCACTGACTGTCAGCCGTTTCGGGTTTTCCTTTGCAGGGTTAAAATGCAAAGCTTTTTTTAACTTGGCAGGTACCGCCTCCTGTGTTGACACTTGGTGTGGATCAGCAGAAGTCGTTCAAAAATTTAACTATCTGGGCACTTGTATGTGCGCTTATAGAATCGATGAGAAGGTCACAAACCGCATAGCGAAAGCATGGGACGCTTTTGCTTACCTTCGCCACCTATGACGCTGACCTCACAAGGGAAACGTTCAGCGGAATAACCGATGTTAGAGAAACTATATGTAAGAAGAGTTCACAGTATATTCACAACTTACTAGAACGCCTTGAGTTTTGGGCTGGAAACCGAAAACAAGTCGGTCGAACAGAACTCTCAGCTTTGTTGTCAATCAGCTATATCGTTGCTTCCTTGTCCATCCGTTTTCAACCGTCATCGCGCTGCAGCTCAACCTGATATTGAACTAAAATTGATTAAGGCTACAGAACTTCCCAGCCCTCGGAGGACTGGCTCCTGTTAATGATTTACAGTTTACTTGTAAACGTATGGATACTGACAACTATCCCAGTCGTCTGGAACTGTTCCGTTATTGTCCAAATCTTCCACGAGGGGTCACTTTCTGA